GCCCACCTCGGCCTCCCAAAGTGCTGGGATTACAAGCATGTGCTACCACACCTGGCCTTGTTTTTTGAAATCACTTTTTTTTTTGTAATTATATGGATTTCTTTGAAAATGTTTGGAAATTGGGTAATGGTGATGCTTGCACAAACCTATGGATATACTAAGAACCGTTGAATTACACACTTAAAATGGTGAATTTTATGGCATCTAAATTACACTACAATACCATATATCTCAAGAACTATTGGTGGGGCTTGGTGGCTAACGCCTGTAATCATAGCACTTTGGGAGGCTGAGATGGATGGATCACTTGAAGTCAGGAGTTTGAGACCAGTCTGACCAACATGGTGAAAACCCATCTCTACTAAAAATATAAAAATTAGCCAGGCATGGTGGTGCAAGCATGTAATCTCAGCTACTGGGGAAGCAAGGCAGGAGAATCACTAGAATTCGAGAGGCAGAGGTTGCAATGAGCCGAGATCACACCACTGCACTCCAGCCTGCGTGACAGAGTGAGACTCCATCTTAAAAAAAAAAAGTACTGAGCAGGCAATGACTATACAGTATGATAAGTAAGCCTAGAGTGGTGGCTAACATGTAGTAGGCACTCAATAAATATTGTTGAATGAATGAATAAATGAATGAATGAATAAGTGGTATGAGAGAGAAAGAGCATGGTGCTGAACAAAAGGCAAGAGGCAGGCACAGACCATTCCAAACTGATGCCTAATAGGTGAGTTGGAGATTAGCCAGGCAAGGAGGCAGGGCAGGGAAAAAAGTCTGTGTTTCAGGAAGAGAATACTGTTTCAGGCAAAGGGAACCGCCCAGATGTGAGAGAACATGGCATATTCAAGGAACTGAAAGAGGATATATTGCTGCAATGCAAGTGGGTGGGAGCCAAAGATGAATCTGGTCCCCAGGGCCAGGCAAGCGGGTCCTGCGAGCCATGGCAAGGAGTGTGGACCACATCCCCAGGGCATGAGAAGCTGGAAAGCCTTTATCAGCATCATTAGATGCTGTCCATCTAGCACCACCATCATTGGTGCTATCATTAGCACCAATAAGAATGGCCTCCCAGTACTTTGGGAGGCTGAGACAGGCAGATTGCTTGAGCCTGAGTTCAAGACCAGCCTGGGCAACGGTAAGACCCTGTTCAATAAACAATACAAAGATTAGCCAACTGTCTTG